AGATCGGTCACACCTCCGTCCGCTATTTCCGTCGCCTGGACGACCTGTTTCGTCACCGCTTCGGCCCGTCGCCCGACCTCCCCGACTTAGATTGTTGGACGACCTGTTTCATCACCGCTTCGGCCCGTCGGCACAGCTTGCTTCGCCGTAGCGTTCAGATTTTTTTATCTGGACATGGATGAGATTGTTGCTGCCTTGCGTGTAATGTATGCTGATGACTCTAGTGTGCCTGCTTCTTACTACCCCTTCTTGCCTAGTGTAGGCGTGTCTAGTCGTGCCTCCCCTGCTGCGTCAGGCGTAGGATCCCCTGCTTTGTTTAGCCTTAGTTCTTCTGTCGCTGCTCCGACTCCGGACGTCACTGCCGCGCTCTCCTTCACCTTGGACTCTGGCGCTTCTCGGTGTTTCTTTCGCGACTCCACTACGCTGACGCCGCTTCTTGCTCCTGCTGCATTTTCCCTTGCTGACCCCTCCTCCGGCCCGGTAGTCGCTCGCAGTTCCACCACCCTTCCCAGTCCGGCGGTTCCTTCGCGCTCTCTTACAGGCCTGCACATCCCCTCGTTCTCCAGGAACCTAGTTGGTGTTGGCTGCCTCCAGGACCTTGGCGTCACCACTACGTTCTCTGGTCACGAGCGGTACGCTGTCTGTACCGAGGCTGCCACTGGTGCTCCCCTCACCACATTCCCCCGGGACCCGGTGTATGGATTGTTCACACTGGACACCGCGACCCCCCCGGTTGGAATGTCCCCTCAGGTGTCTGCGTCTACCCAGGTTGCTGCCGCCTGCTCCTGTCAGTCGCTCACTCACCCGACACTACTGTGGCACCACCGTCTAGGTCACCCTGCCCTCCCGCGTCTGCGTCACATGTCAGAGCACGGTCTAGTCCTAGGTCTCCCAAGGTCGTTCCCCGAGTTGCCCTCCTCCCCAGCACCACCGTGCACGCCTTGTGTCGAGGGCCGGCTCCGCCGTGCCCCTCACTCCTCGTTCCCCCCTACCACCGCACCGCTACAGACCCTGCACATGGACGTCTGGGGCCACGCCCCCGTCCATGAGCTGCGTCGAGAGCGCTACTTCCTAGTGCTTGTCGACGACTATACCCGCGACACCACCGTCTTTCCCCTGGAGCGGAAGGCCGACGTGCCTGACGTTCTCATCCCGTGGCTTGTCTCTGCGCATGTCGACCGCGGTCTCCCTGTCTTGCGTCTCCACTCTGACCGTGGCGGGGGGTTTGCCTCCGGCGTTCTTGGTCGTTTCTATCGTGCATAGGGCATCACCCAGACGTAGCAGAATGGGGTCGCTGAGCGACGCATTGGTTTGGTCATCGAGGTGGCTCGTACCTCCATGATCCATGCCAGTGCACCCCATTTTCTGTGGCCGTTCACCGTTCGCTACGCCGCTCACCAGCACCCCCAGCAGCCGCAAGTTTCGCCGACCCTCTTCTGGACCAGGTCTCTTGGTGACGCGTCTGCATTCCACGTCTTGGGCTGCCTTGCTCATGTTCGTGCCTCTGGCACGGACAAGCTCACTGCCCGCACCGTCCCTTGTGTCTTCCTCGGTTTCCCCCTAGACTCGTTCGACTGGCACTTCTACCACCCGCACTCTCACCGGTTCTTTCACTCCCGCGACGTCACCTTTGATGAGTCCGTCTCCTTCTACCGTCGCTTCCCCCACCGTGGTCCTCCGGTTACTCCCCCCGTGTTCCTGATCCCCCCGTCCCCGGTGGCCCCTGCCCCTCCCCCTCCCCCTCCCCGTCCTCTATCGTCTGGTGTGTCCCACGTCACCTCCCTCACGTCGGTTGTCCCGGTTAAGGAGTCTGCTGACTCTGGTGGTCCTGCGGCGCAGTCCTCGCCGCCTGCCCCTTCCCAGGTGTCTCCTCCTCCGCCGCCTCTGCAGCCGCTGTCGCAGCAGCTGTCGCAACCGCTCTCACAGCTGCCGTCGACGCCGCCGCAGCCATCGTTGCAGCCGCAGCCGTCGCAGCAGCAGTTCGTTGACTCTGGGGGTGCTGGCGTTGGGGTGGGTCTTAGTACTGGGGTTCCTGTCGTGGCTTGTCCCGGCGGGCCAGGGGGTGGTACCGGTGCTCAAGGGACTTCGGGCTCTGGGGGTATTCCTTCTGGGGGTGTTCCTTCTGCGGGTGCAGGAGTGGAGTGTTCCGGAGGTAGCCGTGGAGCAACTTGCGGTCCCGGAGTTGGTGCCGTGCCGCCGCAGCAGCAGTCACCACCGGTATCCGCCCTTCGCCTGCTCGGCCTCCCGTCCCCTGACCCTGCGTCTGCGCCTCCCCCGTCGTCTCCTCTTCTCCCTGTCTACGGCCCTATGTTCCCTCCCCCGGACTCAACTCCGGCTCGTCTTCCCCCTCGTTCCCCTCCGGTATCCCCTCCTCTGTCTCCTGACCCGACTCCTCCGTCTCACGTCTGGTCTCGCCGTCCCTCCCATGCTCGCCCCGTCTCCCCTGTCCTGCGCTCTCACCCTATGTTGCTTCGTTCCCACGCGTCTCGTCCTCTCCTCCTGCTGTCGCCTCCTCCGTCCTCCCTTGTTGTTGCGCCTCCCCCACTGTCTCACTACCTTCGTGCCGCTCGTCCTCTTCTTCCTCGGGTCCTTGCCTCTCCTGTTACCGACCCGTCTGTTCCGGTTTCGCGTCTTGACGCTCTTGTCGCAATGGTCGCTAACTTTGCCTCTACCCGCCGCCTTGACTACGCTACTGCTCTGGTCTCCGACCATGCCCGTCCTCCGTCTGTCGGGGGTGCTTCTCCCCTCGGCAGTGACGTCCTGGAGGACCGCCAGTACGAGCTTGCTTTCCTGTCCGAGGCTGCTCCCCATCTCTGTTCCATGCTGCTAGTCCCTGAGGGTGACTCAGACGCTTTCAACATCCCGACCCCTCGCACTTACACTGAGGCGGTCTCGGGACCCTGGGCCTCGCAGTGGATAGCTGCCATGGAGCAGGAGATGGCATCTTGGAGATCCACCGACACCTACGTCGACGCAGTTCCCCCACTTGGGGTGAACGTAGTCGATGGCCGCTGGCTCTTCAATGTGAAGCGCCCTCCCGGAGAGCCGCCTGTGTTTAAGGCGCGCTAAGTGGTTAGAGGCTTCAGTCAGCGTGAGGAGGTGGACTTCTTTCAGACTTTCGCTCCGACCCCGAAGATGACTACTCTTTGGGTACTGCTACACGCAGCAGCTCAGCGTGACTACGAGCTTCACTCCCTCGACTTCTCCACTGCGTTTCTTCAGGGTAGTCTACACGAGCAGGTCTACCTGCGCCGCCCTCAGGGTTTCACTGGTACCTTCCCTCCTGGGACCCAGTGGCTCCTGCGGCGCCCCGTCTACGGCCTGCGTTAGGCTCCTCGTGAGTGGCACGACACGCTGCGTACTACCCTTGCTGATCTGCAGTTCTTTCCGTCCTCTGCAGACCTCTCGCTCTTCGTTCGTGCTGGCCAGACTCCGTTCTACATCCTTGTTTACGTAGACGACCTGGTCTTCGCCATTGCAGACAGGGACGCACTGGCCTCGGTGAAGGCAGAGCTGCTGAAGAGACACACCTGCAATGACCTTGGAGAACTGCGCCACTACCTTGGCTTGCAGATCTCCAGGGACAGAGCAGCGTGCACCATCACCCTCACTCAATCACACTTGGTGTACCAGGTCTTTTAGAGGTTCAGCCTTCAGTTCCCCTCTACATAGCCCACCCCTCTGCTTGTAGACCACAGGCTCTCTGCTCCAATTCCTGAGGAGTCAGTAGAACCCAGTGGTCCTTACGCAGAGCTGGTGGGTTGCCTCATGTACCTGATGACTTGCACCCGTCCAGATCTCGCATACCCTCTAAGCATCCTGGCTCGCTTTGTGGCCACAGGCAGAAACCGACCTAAGTACTGGTCTGCCGCTAAGAGGGTTTTGCGTTATCTTGCAAGTACATCGGGCATGGGGTTAGTCTTAGAACTGAATGAATTGGTTGAGTAGAGAGAGAGTACAGGTGAATATACCTAAGTGTTGTACCCTCTAAGAGGTGACCCTATACAATCTATGCAAACATAGGATATACACATGTTTGACAGTTAGTGCTAGGAGGGCGCAGGCCAGTGGTCCTTACTAGGCACACAGACGCTTTGTGGGCCGATGACGGCGAGACCCTTAGGTCCTCGCAAGGCTACTGCTTTAGCCTTGGTTCAGGTGTTGTCTCGTGGTGAGCTGCTCGCTCCTCGTCTGTTGCCCAGTCCAGCTGTGAGGCCGAGATCTACGCCGACGCCATGGCGGCACAGGTTTTCCGTTGGCTGACCTTCTTGCTCACTGACTTAGGTGAGCGGCCTAGCTCTGCCCCGGTCCTGTACGCTGACAGCAGGGCCATGATCCTCCTGTGTCAGGAGCCGCGACTCGAGGGCAGAGCGAAGCACATCCAGCTGCGGTACTTCCTCCTGCGTGAGCTACAGCAGCGCCGCCAGGCTCGCGTAGTACACTTGGCCTCCGGTGCCGACACAGCTGATATCTTTACGAAGGCGCTTGCGCCTAAAGATCATCAGCGGCACTGTGTATAGCTAGGTCTTGTTCCTGTAGCCTCTCACTTGCTAGGGCCTTGACTGTGTACAGACCTTTGATATGTCTTATTCTGACTGGCCTTGTGGCCTCTTCCAGTGGCTGGACTAGTAGTGCCGCCCTGGTTTTGCTTTTGGCTTGTGTCTGTACTCGTTTGACTTGTCTTTAGACCCTTGCCTCAGAGGTCGGACTAGTAGTGCCACCCTGAGCTGCTCGTTCTCTTGTTAGGATCTGCTCCTATATAGTCTAGGGGGTGTGTCAAACATATATTGCTATGTTTGTATAGACTGTACAGGTTTGTGTCTTAGAGGGTACAGCTTCTAGGTTATATTACCTTGTGCTCTCCCTTTCTAGTCTATTCTTCCATTCTAACAGGTAATTCTGTAGCGGTACCCTAATTCCTACGGGTGTCTCTAAACCAATTTAGGGCCCTGGTAGTCAACCCACGTCAACTGTCGGTAGTACTGTAGCAAGCTACGTTGACTCAGGAATCCTCGTTGTAGTCTTCACGTATTTGTACATTCACGCAAGACTCCGGTACTGTCTTACCAGTCCTTCTATCATATCCAACACCCTCCACTGAAATGATAACAGAACACTACAAAAATCAGTGGCATCAGTGTCATGTATACCTAATCACCCTACTCCAGATTCGTAAGGTCATTTGCTTCACCACCACACTCAACCCCAGTTCCCGCAGCACATGCCCCCCCTACCACTCCCATCATCCGGAAGGTTCAGCTTCTGACCAGCAGAGAGGTTCAGCTTCCCATTCTCCTCGTCTACCGGAACACATTGCAGGCACGGAGAGGGAAGGGACACGGAAAGGAGTGGCAAGCGTCAAGCAGGGAACACGAAATGGCCAAAGAAGAATAAGTCAAACTGGCCTGAGCCTAGTGCCCAACCTACCCACCCAAATAAACCATCCTACCATGAGACGGAAGCCGTTTGCTGACGTGGTTGTAGATTTCAGCAATGACTGTCTCAAACGCCTCGTCCACATTAGTGGCGTCAAGGGCGGAGGTCTCCATGAAGAACATGCCCTCACGCTCAGCCAGCTCTAAGCCCTTCTCAGTAGGCACAGCACGCAAATGGGCGAGATCCGTCTTGTTGCCAACCAGCATGACCACGAGGTTGTTGTCCCCTTGACCTGCGTGTGGGGGGGTTATGGAGGAGCAGTGGAGAAGCAGTGGAACGGTAGGAGGGGATGAGCTAACGTCAAGGGAAACGAAACGCTTTCTGTTGCCATCGAGTTCCAGTGCAATGGGAGACTCTTTTGAAGGGTGCTTCGACAATGTGAGACGAAAACCCACGTAAGAAATGTTGCCAGTCGTTCACCCTAAAAGATGCCGTTTAGATCTCACTCGCGTGCCACAGCTGCGCGGTTCTCCCTGCTCTTTGCTCATGCCCCCGTGTCAATGAAAAAATATGCGGATAGTCAACATGATGGTTCATAACAACATTGCTGAGCGATCCAAGTCTAGCGCCCCACTTCCCTCAGTTCCCAGACTCACAGAAGCAATATGACGCCACAACCCGCGACGTGCGCGTCGACGTCCACAGCGGAAGGGGAAAAAAGGAAGGGACAAGCGCAACAAGAAACGAGCCATCCTCGAACGAGCCATCCTCGCACTCACTCCGAACTTCTCGGAGCCATTGAGAGATATTGTCGAAGCTGCTACGCCGGCTGATGTCGTACACCAGCAGCGCTCCAAGGGCTCCCCGGTAATACACGCTGGTCACCGCTCGGTACCGCTCCTGCCCTGACGTATCCCAAATCTGGGCTTTAATCTCCTTGTTGTCGATTTCCATCGTCTTAGACCGGAACTCTACGCCAATAGTGGCCTTGGAATCTCCATGAAACTCGTTGTGGGCAAACCGGGATGCAAGGTTTGTTTTGCCTACACCAGAGTCACCGATCAGGACCAGCTTGAAAAGATAGCTGTCTGCTGCTTGGCCATCTGCCCCGGAACCAAAAGAAGGGCCCGGCATGTTGGCCGACGACGACTGCGTGTTAAGCGGCCTTCTTGAGAGCTCTTGGGGTGAAAGCTATGGAGGTATATATAATAAAACAGCTGGCCTGGACGCACAAAGACGCGCATATGGTACATAATGAGTGGAGGTGGCAGGAACTGGACAACGGAATCGATGAAAAATATGAGAAACATAAAAAGATTAACGTTTCGATCAGGAAAAGACGGCAGCGGCAAAAGCAAGGGAGCAGGGTGACACGCTTCACGGAACGGAGACTAGACAAATAAGGCACGCTGCGAACAACAGACTGGCAACGGATAAATAGGACAGCAATACTCACTTGGGAGTGACAGAGGACAGTAATCACTGAGATACTCTGCACACCGCTACTAATGCCGAGAACTAAGCCTTCTGTTCCCGACTGAAATGTGAGCAATGCAATCTGGTAGTCCAGCTCTCAACTACCAACCCAGCCAACAATACAGGTCGAACCGAACTGTTTCCAGAAGCTTTATATTTTAGGGCGTGTCCCAAGCTTATTTTGCCATACCCTAACTAACCGATTAGGCTTGTGATTCGATCGTTCTGAAAAAGAACCCCACCTCACTCAACCGGAACCGAACGCACGCTTGGAGCATGCCAAGGATGAAGGGGAAGCAGAGCAGGTTGGGGGGAGGGGATGGGAGGTTGGTTGGGTGGGGTGGTTGGGGGGAGGGGGACAATGACAACGACGTCAGCAATGGACCAGAACGCTGGGTTTGAAAGGTGGCGGGGAGAGGCGGAGATTGGGGGGCGGAGTTTGACCTTCAGGGGGTGGAAAGGCATCTGGTAAGGTGGTGACACGACGGGTAGATGCTGACCGTCGATGCGTGGCGTGAAGGTCCCGAGATCGACGATCTTTGAGATCCACTGATCGAAGGCACCAGATTACCCCGAGGACCACGGGCCACTGTCTATTGGTTGGAGGGTATCTGTGCTCGATATTGTCGCATTTGATTCGTGCGTGCGATGATTTGGTTACGAAAAGCCTTTACTTCGGTGTAAACTTTGTGGATTGTTTTCTTCTCGAACATCTTCGTAATGGCAAGCAACCAGAAATACTGAAGGTTTTGTGAGGGTTTACCTTTTTAGCCTAGAAAGAGTCCATCGTGTTGCGGGCATACACAGTAGAAATCATTTCTGCATATGTGCAATTTTCATAGGATATGCGATACCAACATAAGGACAGTCTTCGTAATGTCCATACAAACTCAATATTGAATCGTTCGTGATTGGCTTGAGCATGGTTGCCCCTAGCACCGCCGATGTGCTCGTAGTAGTAGGCTCCTGGCGCAGCCTTCTGGGCGAGCTCGGTGATCGCGAAGGGCTCTCTGGAATCATGGGAGTGGTGTGCGTATCTGTGGGCTGCCTGAATGCATTATCGAGGTTGGCGGTTGATTCTACATTGAGTGGATCTGTGCCCCAAAAGGGCGTAATGATTTGATCAAGCTGCAGAAGAATCAGGGCGACCGGCGGGAACAGGCGGGGTTTGGGGAAGTAAAGGAGGTGCGGAAGGGTTTGGGTGGGAGGGGAGGAGTGGTGAGTAGGTTTAACTACCGCACACCACGCTGAGGAGACGCACGAGACGCAAGAGGCGCGTCAGACGCATCGGACGCGCGAGACGCATGAGCATGGCGTCGACGTCCCAGCGACGGCGATCCGTGCAGCTCGTGCGCCACACCACGTCCCTGCTCGTCTCCCGAACCCGCGCGGATCCGGCCAATCAGCTGCGTCCATGTGGCAGCTTCCTACTGGCAAGAGAGCCGTCACCTTCACCATGGTTTCTCACCGCGGCGATCTCGAGGGTCTTCCTAACGCCGAGGCTTCGCCAACTGCATTCCGCCAACTGGCCCTCATCCCACTCAACCTCGGCAATCCCGAGAAACGCCCATGCCACGTGGCAGTGTCCGATACGGGTACTATCCTCCAGCCCACCACACTTCTCTCCGTACAGTCCGTTCCACTATCAGTACCCCCGTGGCTTTGCTTTCCCTCTGTATTCGCTTTCCTTTCCCCCCTTCCTTGCACTCACCTTCCACCACCACACCATTGCCGTCAGCGCCATAGCTGCGAGCGCCCTTGTGCAACCTCCACACCCTCCCTTGGCCTGGCGCGCCTTGCCCTTCCTCTCCGTGCGACTCTCCCCCGTGTTCGTGCAGCCGTCCTCATCCATGCCCGTCGCACCAATATCGACCTCCAGACCTCTCGCCGCAGCAGTGACGCCAGAACCCGCCTCCTCCTATCCCCCCTCCTCCTCTTCCTTCAAACCTATGGAGTCACCTAGTTCGCCCCCTGACGCGCCTCTCCCCTCCAGAGGTAACACCTTCCAACCCCACACGCCCACCTCTTGCCCCCCCTCAATACCCCTCTTCCTTGCCGTATGCTCGTTCCTTCCATCCAACCCCGCTGCTCTATCAGCTACACGACTTTTCACAACCGCGTCCCTCTCTGGCTTGCTTATGCTGACCTAAGCATCCCATCTGCCCCACCCCTCCCTCCCCCTCCCCTCCCCCCCTATCCCTCGTATTCCTCATTCCATGCACAGCGCACCTGGCGTCCCTGTCCTCGCCCAGCCTGGTGGACGCCCTGTGCGCCGCAGTGGCGAGTGCAGGCAGAGCAAGGGGGCAAGGAGGGGGGAGGGCGGTGAGAGAGGGCGGAGGGGAGGCAGTGCATGTGCTGCTGGGGGAGCTCGAGAGACGGATGGGGGTGGGGGCGGGGGTGGAGGGGGTGGGGTTGGAGGGTCAGGGAGGCAGGCTGATGAGAGGGCTGAGTGACAGAGGCGTGGGGAGTGGGGTTGGAAGAGAAGGGCAAAGGAGGGGAGGAAGGAGGGGGGAGGAGCGGGGAGGTGGGCGCGAGAGGAGGGAGTGGGGCCAGTTGTGTGCGCGGGTGCTGCGGGCAGCAGCGCTGGCAGGGAATGCTGACGTGGTGCATCGTGTGATGCACGCGCTGGTGTCCGCCGGTGTGCCTGTGATGGTCGGGGCTCAGATCTCGTTCCTCCGCGCCTTGTGCAACGCGGGCAGCATGCACCAGGTGAGCACGAGTGCGTGTGCAACAGGCTGTGCATGTGGGAATGTATGAGCGCCCAAGTCAAGTGGGTGTCAAGTGCGTGGCTCATCACTCCTGCTGTAACCTGTACCTTATCGGTGTGCATCATCAGGTAACAGCGGATGTTCGCAGCGTGATGGCTGACAGCTCTCGTCTGCTTCTCCCTGCTGCTTCTGACAACACCCTGCGTTTTTACTCCACCCCTCCACCCCCCCCCCCCCCCCCCCCCCCCGCCCTCTCTCCCCCTTCTGCTCCCCCTATGAATCCCGCCAACGTTATCCTCATTATGCGCACGTGCACCCTTGAACAGGCTCAAGAGGAACGGTCTACGGGCCATGGACAGCTGATGAGCCGATGGCATGTCTTTCTTCTGCACCCCCTCCTTCAGGCCTTGGATTGGCTTGAGAACCAGGTGCACGTGCAGCAGCAGAGCAGCAGCAGCAGACGGAGGGTCACAGCAGGGAGGCGAGGTCAAATGGACCATGCCCAGCAGCATCAGCATCAGCATCAGCATCAGCATCATCGTTCAGCAGCCGCATCACCATCGCCAGTGCCTCTATCAGCATCAGCAAACTCTGCAGCAGCAGCAGCAGCAGCAGCAGCAGCGGTGTGTGCCCCGCTGTGCGCAGCAGTGTTCAACGTGGTGCTGACGGCGTGTGCGCAACACAGGGACAGCCGCAGTGCGGCGCGCTGCGTGCTGCTCATGGAGCGATGCGCCGTGCCGTGCGATGCCATCTCCTACACCGAGCTCATCAAGGTGCGCGCCACGGTGCCACAGTGCCACAGTGCCACAGTGCCAAGTCAAGTCAACAGCAGGGGTAGGTGGGTCAATTCAAGTTGCAACTTCTTGCCACCCTCCCTCTCCCTGTCTGTTAACCACCTCCCTTCCCCCCCGTGTCTGCCCCTCCCTCTTCCTCCCTCTGTTCGTGCTACAGCTGGCAGGGCTGGTGGGGGACCGTCAGGCCGTACTGGACCTCTGGGAGCAGTTGCTGCATGCCATGGCGTCGCCACACACACACCCTCCACACTCACACCCTCCACACTCACCACCTGCACACTCACCCACCCTCTCACCCACTCAGTCATCCAGCAGACCAACACCATCACTCTCGCCCCATCCCTCAACCACCACCTCCTTCTCCCCATCCGCCTCCTCTTCAACCCTGCCACCCGATCCCACCCCATCCCCCCTGCCCTCGCCCCCTCCGCTCCCGCTCGTGGCCCTCTCTGCCCGCGTGATAGCCTTCTCTCGCATCCCCGGCGCCCTCTCGGACGCACTGCAAGCCATGGGCGACATGGAGGCGGCAGTACTGAGGGAGCTGGAGGCGGGAGGGGGGCGGATAGGCTCCGGGCGGGGGCTGTTGCTGGAACGAACGGGTGGGGGGCGATGGAGGGGGGCGGGGGCAGGGGCGGGAGATAGGGAAGGGATTGTTGGGGTTGATGGGAAAGCTGGGGTTGGGGTTTCTGCAACAGCAGCAGGAGCAGCGGGGCCTGGAGCAGCAGGAGCAGCGGCGGCAGCAAGGGTTTCTGAAGAGGTTCTGGGCGAGGGGTCGAGTTCCAGGAGAGAAGGGGGCATGTCGGAAGCGCGAGGCACGTGGGGATGCAGCAGGCAGGGCTCGTGGGACGGCCAGCAGCTGCTAGCACTCATTGCTCAGAATGATGGGCGTGCTGGGGATGATGGGGATGGTGAGGGTGATGAAGACGACGGGGAAGAACAGCAGAGAGCTGAGGACCATGGATCCGGCAACCATGGGGCTCTGGTGGAGGAGGATGCAGATGTGCTACTTAGGGACATGAGACTGGGGCTGGAGTTGCAGGGTGAGAGGGAGAGGCGGGCATGGGAGGCGGTGGAGATGGGGCTGCGCGTGGGGTGGAATGCCATTGTGAACGCTGCTGCCAAGCAGGGACGATGGGATGTGGCCCTTGCTATGCTACAACGGGTAAGGTGGGTTGGGGGGAGAGGGGTGAGGGGAGAGGGGAGGAGAGAGACACGGGAGAAGGAGTTTTTTTTGGGGCGCCTGTAAAGCAGGCGCGATGGGACGTGGCCCTTGCTATGCTGCAACGGGTAAGGCTCGGTTGGTTGGGCAGGGGAGGAGAGTGACATGGGAATGGAAGTTGGAAGTGAACGCGTGGAGAGAGCCCTCTAGTTGGAATTCGTTCTTTCCAAGCACTGACAGAGCGAATTTTGTCTAGAACGATTCTGCTGACTGTGGAAAGGTTTCCTCCAATACCCTCTTATGTTCCTCGTTGTCTAGAAGAGGTCATGCCTTTCCTCACTTCCATGTCCTTCTGGTCTGTGATCCGTTCCCCTTCCCCATCTGCGTTCCCCTTCCCCATCTGCGTTCCCCTTCCTCGTGGTCAGATGTTGCGGTGGGGGGTGCATCCAGACGACTACACGGTCAACGCTCTCATCCGTGCCGCCTTTGCTTCTGATCGACCCACTGTTGCTCAAGCCCTTGTAAGTCGCCAACCTGCCACATCCCACCCACGCACCCACTCAGCCAACCACCCTCCTGTACTCCCCGTTGTCTCGCTTCCTCCTATACACAGCATCACATACCCCTATTGACTCTACCATCCACTTTGTTTAACTCTAACCCTATTTCTCCCCACACTCTCTTCCATCCATCTCCCTCTCCTTTGGCCTCGTCCTGTCCATGGCACACCTCTCTCTCCTGTCCTACTGTCCTGTCCTGTCCCAGTTCGACCTGCTCAGCAGCGCCACGGTCAACCGTAACGCCTCTGCTCCTGTGACTACCTCGCCAGCTGGGCCCTTGACCCCCTCGTCTCACAGCAGCAGCAGCGCTGAGTCTCTGCGTGTGGCCGTGGACTCGTTCCTGACCTACGGTTTGATCCGCAGTGGCAACACACAGGACGCCCTGCAGCTCTTCCACCAGATTAGACACACAGGGGCGAGCAGTAGTAGCAGTGCTGCTGCTGGTGCTGGTGCCGTTGGTGCTGCTCGTGCTGCTGATGGTGATGCTTATGACGAGAACGATGATTATGATGACGATGGGAGTGTTGCGGCTCTTGAAGTGGCTACAGCGTCGATGAGATCTGGAGGAGACCACTCCACACACCTGCGCTTCACGGGCAACGCTCTCATCCGCGCGTGCAGCAAGCAGGGCCGCTTCGAAGACGCCTTCCAGGTGTTTCAAGCCATGCTCGCCGACAAATTGCCCGTCGACACCTGTACCCTGCAGGCTCTGCTGCTGCTCGCTGCAGGCCCCAGCACGCCCACTAGGTGGGGTATTAGGGGGAGTGCAGGAGGAGGGAGGGGGGATTCAGAGAAGGGAATCATTGGAGGGTGGGACGGTAGGGGAGAAGAGGACATGGCGAGGCATGGAACGGGGGTGGGAGGCGGGCGGGAACTGGGCGAGATGGAGTGGGGTGGAGGAGGAGAAAGAGGAGGAAGAGGAGGTAACAGGGGTGAAGTAGAAGCTGGAACTGGTTATGGACGGTGGCAGAATGACGAGCATGATGAGGACACGGACAGAGCAGCAGGAGATCGGGAGGATTTGGGAGATGAGCCGGGTATGGCGATGGGTGTGCCGGTGGGTGCAGGCATGGGTGAGGAGGGGGAGGAGGAGGAGGGCGGTACTCGGCAGAGGGAGGTGTGGCGGCGAGTGGCGGCTGTGGAAGCAGCCATGGCTGCTGCTGGTATCAGGCACTCGGCTGCGTCCTTCAACACCCTCGTGAGCCCTGCACTGCACCTGTGCTGCTTCTGCCAACACCATCCTTTGATTGACCCGCTACAGGACCACTTTCCCCACCCCTAACACCCTCTTTCCCCTAACCGCCCCCCCTCCCCTCAGTCCCCCTCCCCCGACATCCCCCGAACCCCCTGTCTCCCCCCCCCCACACCATCTCTCTGTCAGGTGCGGGTGCTGGGCGAAGCGGGGCTGTGCAGTGCCATGCAGCGGCATGTGCAGTGGGGGCTGTCCACGCCTGATGCTGCTGGTCGCCCCCTCACCGACACGCTCACTCTCAACACCGCCATCGCTGCCGCCGCGCGCCTCGGACAGGTCAGTCACTCCCTCATGGGTCCGTCCCTGACAGGTCGGCTGCTGACAGGCCGGTGATGCTGTGTTACCATCTCCGATTGCTCACACAATCCGACTTTTCCTCCACGCCTCACTTCAAAACTCTGCCCCACCTTTGTTCCCGCTCTCTCGTCCCCCCTCCGGTCCCTTGTTCTCCAAACCTCCCTCGTCACCCTGCCTTCACCCTGCCTTCACCCTGCCTTCACCCTGCCTTCACCCTGCCTTCACCCTGCTGTCACCCTGCCCTCACCCCAGGTGCACGCAGCGCGGCAGCTATTCCGTGTCATGGAGCAGCACCCCCACCTCACGCCCACCACGGTCACCTTCAACGCGCTGCTCAACGCCCTCGCTGTGGCGGCCAGGGACAGGGGGGTGGGCGGTGCGAGTGGGAAGGGGCGGAGGAGGGGAGGAGAGGTGTTGGTGGAGCCGGAGGGCCAGTGGAGGGGTCGAGGGGAGTTGGAGGGTGAGGGTGGTGGGAGGGAGTATGTGAGTGAGGTGTGTGAGGTGATTAGGGAGATGGAGGAGAGGGGGATTGAGGCAGACACGGTCACGTTCAATACTGCTATCAAGGTGCGTGTCCATTGATGCATGCATGCGGCTGTTTGGTGTTGGTGCATGCGATTGCTTGGTGTCGGCTTGCTTGCTCGTTAGCCTGTCTGTTGGTTCGCTTGTCTGTGTGCTTATCCATGTGCCAACTTCTTCACATGTGTGAGTGTGCGTGTGCTTGCTGCTCCGAAGACTTTCTCCTGCCCCGATCTTCCCGCCCATACGTCCCTTAACCATCTGCCTCACCCAGTCCGCCCCATCCCTCCCTCCTGCCCCATCCTTTCCGCCCCACACCATGTGCGGCAAATGGCAGGCTGCATGCAATGCGCGTGACTACACGGCAGCACATGGCTTCCTAGAGTGCTTGGAGTCGCACCAACGCCTTGCTCCCGACGAAACGTCTTACAGCACCGCCATCGCATACGCTGCCTTCCAGGTGAGCTCTGGGCTGGGGTGGAATGCTTGTGGAGATTTCTCAGGAATCCAAGAGTCCAAGAGTCTCTCCCAGGTGTCTTCTGTTTTGGGGAGGGGAAGGGTGGGGTATGCTTGTTGAGAATTCCCAGGGTGATTCCTGGGTTGGTGTGCCTGTTGGGTCAACTCTAGAGTCTCGCAACGCCAGGCGTGGATTCTTCCAGTTGCTGCTTTCCTTACCCACCGCGGTTGCGCTTTGAGAGGTTAGCTGCGCTGCTGCCTCTGCCATGCCCCCGTTGCTCCCCTTCCCCACGAAACACTCTGCCCCCCAGACCCGCACCTCAGACCCACACCCTCCCTTCCACTCTCGTCCTCCCTCTCTTGCTCATCCCTCCTCTCTGCGTCCCCACGCTCCGACTCTCCCAACCAACGAATCCTAGGGCAACATCTGGCACATGGAGCTGTTCCTGGCACGGCTGCTGCGGCAGCGCGTGCCCATATCCTTCTCCGCACTGGCCTCCGTCGTAGAGGCGTACGCCAGCGCCGTTCCCCGCAGGTTAGACGAAGTCACTGCTGCCACCCTTGCTCTAGCTGAGCACTCACAGCAGGTAGAGGTTGAGCGTGGCGACAGAGGGAAAAGAGGGCACAAGGCCAGGGAGGGCGCTGAGTTAGCAGAGGATGGGGGGAGGAGGGAAGTGGCAGTAGTGGCTGGGGGGGTTGGGGAAGGGGGAGGGGTTGTGGTGAGGAGTGAGGAGGGGAGGTTGATGGAGTTTGCATGGCAACTGGCGGCTGATGTTGAATCCAGCATTGCAGAAGGGGAGGAGGGGGGTGGAAGGAGGGAGAGTGTGGTGGGATGGAGGGTTCGCATAGAGGAACAACTACAGAAGTGGGATTGTTCCTCATAATCCATACAATGAGTACACATTATTGGAGCTCTATCTCTGTAAAATTGCTCTATGAAAGTTACAGCTTGACCAGCCATTGGGGACTGAGCTCCCGCACACAGGTACAATGTGGCATTGCATCTCTTTGTTTGCTGCATGCATGCACTCCACCATGGAAGCAGTTGCAGCTTGCAAGTCATCGTGCTCAGAAGGTGAATGGACGAAACCAGGGTCCTAAATAGCAGACTTTTTTTGTCTGATTGTCTGATTTTCAGACTGGTTTTTAGGGGTTTCTCTGATTTTTCAGACAACGGTTTGAAAAAACTCTGATTGGCCTAGACAAGCTTTTAAGATTTCTCTGAATTTCTCAGACTAGGTGTACCGGTTTCTCTGATTTTTAGACAAGTGAATCGAGTTTCTCTGAAACAGAGACATACATGTGTACCGGCTCCACACACACCCCTCACACCCCAAAGATTTCGGCTAAGTCCCCCACACCAGAGACAATCCTCCCCACTCCCCACACACCCCTCGTATACAAAAAATTCGGCTAAGTTCCCTACACCAGACACATTCCTCCCCACCACCCACACCCACACCCCTCGCACCCCAGAAAAAAAAGGCTAAGTTCCCCTCACCAGAGACATTCCTCCCCACCCACACCCATACCCCTCGCACCCCAAAAAAATCAGCAAAGTCTGTTAAAGTGAGAACGAATAATAACTAGAAGTGGAAACCTAGAACAAATACTAGTTGGTTGTACTCACTAGAAGCATACCTCAGTCTAGCCTATAACTTCTACATAGATAATATGTATAAGTTGACACACCCCCTAGGCTAGACAAGGGGTGAAACTAAACAAGAAGCAAACAGCTCAAGGCGGCACTACTAGTCCAACCACTGAGACAGGGGTCTGGCGACCAGTCAGCAAGAATACAACCAAAACTGAAGCAAGCCAGGGTGGCACTACTAGTCCAGCCACTGGAGGTAAGGCCACAAGGCCAGTCTGACAAGCATATATAATAGAGAGTACACAATCAGGATCCTAACAGGGGAGCAGCTACAGGAACTAGACCAAGCTGTACACAGTGCCGCTGATGATCTTTAGGCGCAAGCGCCTTAGTAAAGATATCAGCTGTGTTGGCACCTCAGGCCAAGTGAACTACACGGGCCTGGCGGCGCTGCTGTAGCTCGCGCAGGAGGAAGTACCGCAGCTGGATATGCTTCGCTCTGCCCTCAAGCCGAGGCTCCTGACACAGGAGTATCATGGACCTGTTGTCAGCGTACAGGACCGGGGCAGAGCTAGGCCGCTCACCTAAGTCTGTGAGCAAGAAGGTCAGCCAGCGGAGCTCCTGTGCCGCCATGGCACCAGCGTAGATCTCAGCCTCACAGCTAGACTGAGCCACAGACGACGAGCGGGTGGATCTCCAAGAGATAGCACCCGAACCAAGGCTGAAACAGTAGCCCTGCGACGACCTGAGCGTCTCAGCGCCGTCTGCCCAAGAAGCGTCTGTGTGTCCAGTAAGGACCACTGGCCTGCGTCCTCCTAGCACTAACCCCATGCCTGATGTACTAGCAAGATAACGCAAAACCCTCTTAGCGGCAGACCAGTGCTGAGGTCGGTGTCTGCCTGTAGCCACAAAGCGAGCCAGGATGCTGAGAGGGTATGCGAGATCTGGGCGAGTGCAAGTCATCAGGTACATGAGGCAACCCACCAGCTCTGCGTAGGGGCCACTGGGCTCTACTGGCTCCTCAGGAACGGGAGCAGAGAGCCCATGGTCTACGGGTAGAGGTGTGGGCTGTGCGGAGGAGAACTGAAGACCGAACCTCTGAAGGACCTGACGCACCAAGTGTGACTGGGTCAGAGTGATGGTGCGTGCTGCTCTGTCCCTAGAGATCTGCAGGCCAAGATAGCGACGCAGCTCTCCAAGGTCAGTGCAGGTGTGTCTCTTCAGCAGCTCAGCCTTCACAGAGGCCAGTGCGTCCCTGTCAGGAGTAGCGAAGACCAGGTCGTCTACGTAGACAAGGATGTAGAACGGAGTCTGGCCGGAACGCACAAACAGTGAAGGGTCAGCAGAGGACGGAAAGAACTGCAGGTCTGCTAACGTGGCACGTAGCGTGTCGTGCCACTCGCGGGGAGCCTGACGCAGGCCGTAGACCGGGCGCCTGAGAAGCCACTGGGTCCCAGGAGGGAAGGTACCAGTGAAGCCCTGTGGTCGGCGCAGGTAGACCTGCTCGTGTAGGCTGCCCTGAAGAAAGGCAGTAGAGAAGTCGAGGGAGTGAAGCTCGTAGTCACGCTGTGCTGCTACATGTAGCAGCGCCCGAAGAGTGGTCATCTTCGGGGTCGGGGCGAAGGTCTGGAAGAAGTCAACCCCCTCGCGCTGACTGTAACCTCTGGCCACGTAGCGCGCCTTGAAGACAGGCGGCTCTCCAGGGGGGCGCTTCACCTTGAAGAGCCACCGACCATCGACTACGTTCACCCCAGGCGGGGGAACTGCGTCGACGTAAGTGCCGGTGGACCTCCAAGATGCCATCTCCTGCTCCATGGCAGCTATCCACTGAGAGGCCCAAGGTCCCGAGGTGGCCTCAGCGTAGGTGCGAGGGGTCGGGATGTCGAAGGCGTCTGGGTCACCCTCAGGGACTAACAGCATGGAGCAGAGATGGGGAGCAGCCTCGGAAAGGAAAGCCAGCTCGTACTGCCTGTCATCTAGGACGTCACTGCCAAGGGCAGGAGCACCCCCGACGGACGGAGGACGGGCAGGGTCAGAGACCAGAGCGGTAGCGTAGTCAAGGCGGTGGGTAGAGGCGAAGTAAGCGACAGCAGCGACAAGCGCGTCAAGGCGCGAGACAGGAACAGCAGGGTTGGTAACAAGAGAGGCAAGGACCCGAGGGACAAGGGGACGAGCAGCACGGAGGTAGTCAGAGAACGGAGGAGGTGCAACAGCAAGCGACGAGGGAGGAGGCGACGGGAGGAGGGGAGGACGAGACGAGCGGGAACGGAGCAACATAGGGTGGGTGGGCAGGACAGGAGAAACGGGACGAGCACGGGAGGGACGGCGAGCCCAAACGTGAGACGTAGGTGTAGGGTCAGGGGACAGCGGAGGAGACACAGGAGGGGAACGAGGAGGAAGACGGGCCGGAGACGAGTCTGGCGGCGGGAACACTGGACCGTAGACAGGAAGGTCAGCAGGCGGTGGGGGAGACACCGGCGCGCGGTCCGGGGAGGGAAGGCCGAGCAGGCGGAGAGCGGAGACCAGCGGCGACGGCTGCTGCGGCGGCGACGACGGCTGGGCCGGAACTCTCGGACCAGCAGAGGCAGAACGACCGTCGGCAGAACACTCAACAGCAGCACCCCCAGAACCAACACCCCCAGAGCGAGAACCCCCTCCAACACCAGCGGCACCCCCAGAAGCCGCAGGACGAACACCCTCCTCCACACCAGCACCCCCAGGGGCCAAGAGCGGCGGCGGCAGTGGCCGCGACGGCTGCGGCGGCGGCGACAGCGGCGACGGCTGCGGCAGCGACGGCGACGGCGGCGGCAGCGGGGTCGCCGACTGCGACAGTGGGGGCGGAGGCACCGGGGAAGGGGGACGCGGCAAGGACGGACCGGGGGTACCACCAGAGTCAGCAGACTCCTCAACGGGGACAACCGGTGGGAGGGGTGTGACGTGAGAGACACCAGACGGGGCAGGACGAGGCGGGAGAGGGGCAGGGGCTACCGGGGGAGAGGGAGCAAGGAACAGTGGGGGGGCAACCGGGAGACCTCGGTGAGGGAAGCGGCGGTAGAAGGAGACGGACTCGTCAAAGGTGACGTCACGAGAGTGCAGGAAGCGGTGAGACGGCGGGTGATAGAAAAGCCAGTCAGACGAGTCCAGGGGGAAACCGAGGAAGACACAGGGGACAGTGCGGGCAGTGAGCTTGTCCGTGCCAGAGGCACGAACGTGAGCAAGGCAGCCCCAGACGTGGAACGCAGACGCGTCACCGGGGGACCCGGTCCAAAGGAGGGTCGGCGAAACCTGCGGCCGCTGGGAGCGTGGCCACAGGTTAAGCTGGTGAGCAGCGTAGCGAACGGCGAACGGCCACAGAAAATGGGGGGCATCGGCATGGATCATGGATGTACGGGCGACCTCCATGACCAAGCCGATGCGGCGCTCAGCAACCCCATTCTGCTGTGGCGAGTCCGGCAACGTGTACGACTAGGTGATGCCCTCCACACGACAGAACTGTCCAAGCCGACCAGAGGCGAACTCGCCGCCACGGTCGGAGTGGAGACACAACACGGGGAGACCGCGGTGGAGACGCGCAGCCACAACCCACGGGAGAAGAACGCCGGGCACGTCGGCCTTCCGCTCCAGGGGAAACACCGTGGTGTAGCGCGTGTAGTCGTCGACGAGCACAAGGAAGTAGCGCTCACCGCGCGGTCCGGGGACGGGGGCAGGGCCCCAAACGTCCAGGTGCAGGGTCTGAAGGGTGGCAGTAGCAGGACGCAGCGAGGAGGAGTGAGGAGCACGGCGGAGCCGACCCTCGACGCAAGGCGTGCACGGTGGCGCAGTCGAGGGAGGAAGGGCAGGGAGCGACGCGGGGAGACCTAAGACAAGACCGTGCTGGGACATGTGACGCAGACGCGGGAGAGCAGGGTGACCTAAGCGGTGGTGCCAGAGAAGGGAGGGGTGAGTGAGGGACCGACACGAGCAAGCTGCAGCAACCTGGGAGGACGCACCAACCGGGGGGGAGGCGGTGTCGAGGGTAAACAGACCGGACACCGGGTCCCGGGGGAACGTCGCAAGGGGGGAACCTGAGACAGCCTCAGAACAGACAGCGAACCGCTCGTGCCCGGGGAACGTGGTGGTGACGCCGAGGTCCTGGAGACAGCCGACACCAACCAGGTTCCGCGAGAACGAGGGAACGTGGAGGCCAGTAAGGGAGCCCGAGGGAACTGCCGGACAGGGAAGGGACGTAGAACTGCGCGCGACGACAGGACCCACAGAGGGGTCAGCGAGAGAGACAACAGCAGGTGCAGCAAGCGGCGTGAGCGTGGAACGGTCGCGGAAGAAGCAGGCAGAAGCACCGGAGTCGAGAGTGAAGGACAGCGACGCAGTGGCGGAGGCTGGGGACGGAGCCGGTGCAGCGACTAGACTAGGCAACCTAGGCAGTCCTACGCCTGACGCAGCAGGGGAGGCTAAGCTACACAGGGGTGCAACACCTAAACTAGAGTACACAGGGTAATAAGATCCAGCAAAACTAGAAGCGTCAGAATACAAAGCATGCAAAGCAGTACCTAGCTGATCCATGTCTAACTCAAAGATCGGCACGCCCTGGCGGAGCAGGCTGTGCCAGTCGGGGAGGTCCGGGGCCGGGCCAAAGCGACGACGAAAGAGATCGTCGAGGCGGCGGAAACAGCGGGCAGTCGGGTGCGGGCGGCGGCACAGAGTGCCGCGAAGAGGCCCGGTCTGAAGCTGGTACTGGCAGGTGACAGCACCAGAGCCGCCGGTAGACGCCAAGCTGCGCGGGCCGCCACCACGGCCACTACCTCCGGAGGTGCCGGGCCAACCAGGCGGGAGACGGGCGCACTGCTGCGGTGACTGCTGCTGGGACGGTGACTGCTGCTGGGGCGGCGGCTGCGGCTGGGGCTGCTCCTGCTGCGACTGGGGCTGCTGCTCCTGCCCACCAATGGTAGTCCCCGCAGGCTGACTACCGTCACCACCACTACTGCCACCACCACCCCTACCCCCCTGGCGACCACGGCCACCGCGGCGCGAGCGCTGCTGCGGGTGGACCGCACCAGCCGTCTCGGTGAGAGGGGCCGCCGAGGCGACCGCAGCCGAAACGTCAGTGAACGCACACTAGGAGGGGGCACAACCGTGAAAGATAGAAACTGCCAGCGCACCGCTCGACTAAGCGATAGTGCGCTGGCGAGTCTCGATCTCGGTAAGGGTGTCGACAAAGGCAGTGAGAGTGAGGTCACCCGGGTGCTGGCTAAGAAAGTGATCGCGAGCACTAGCGAGACGGTCTGGCAGGCGCATGGCGATAAAATAGAGCGTCATGCAGAAAGGGGGGGGGAGCGCAGTGAGCTGGGCGGCAGTGCTGGCAGTGCGATAGCGGGTCTCTAGGGCACGCAGGTGAGTGGCAAAGTCTGCGACGGTAGGGAAAGCTGCAAGGTCTGGGAAAAGCATAGGGAAGAGCAGGCGACCAGCAGAAGCAGACGCGGGTGTGGAATAGCGGGCAATAACAGCGTCTAAGTAGGCTTTGGCCGTCTCAATAGTAGCAAAACGCGAGCGCTCGGAGACAAGGAGGGCGTGACTAATGGCAACCTGAGCGACTGCATCGCGGGAGTCCCAGACCGCACGGGCAAGCGCAGCAGTAGAGAAGGTCTCACGGTCATCAGATGAGGGATCAGCAGGGAGGGGAGCAGGTGCGGGGGGGCGGGGGAGCAAGCCGTCGACATGGACAACCAAAGAGTGGCCATCCTAGCGCTTACCTGTAAGGTGGCGGCGGAGATCGGAGAGCCAGGCGGCGAAGTCAACCGCATGGCCCTCGGCGTCCAGTCGGAGCACGAAGTCCGCCATCGTGCAGGGTCAGCGGCACAGCTCCACAGGGACACAGCGACGCAGGAACACAGTGACAGCCCCCTCCAGCACGGCGGCCGCGAAGCGCCTCAGCACGGGCGAGCAGAGGAGACGGAGCCCGAGGCGGCACGGCAGGACGAGCCGGGGCGAAGGGGCCAGGCAGGTGCGGTGGGGCCAGGCAGGTGCAGGCGGGGCCAGGCAGGTGCGGCGGGGCCAGGCAGGCGTGGCGGGGCCAGGCAGGCGCGGCGGGGCCAGGCAGGCGCGGCAGGGCCAGGCAAGCGCGGCGGGACCAGGCAGGCGCGGCAGGGCCAGGCAGGCGCGGCGGGACCAGGCAGGCGCGGCGGGGCCAGGGAGGCGCGGCAGGGCCAGGCAGGCGCGGCGGGGCCAGGGAGGCGCGGCGGGGGCCAGGCAGGCGCGGTAGGGCCAGGGAGGCGTGGCGGGGCCAGGCAGGCGCGACGGGGCCAGGCAGGCGCGACGGGGCCAGGCAGGTGCGGCGGGGCCAGGCAGGCGCGACGGGGCCAGGCAGGGCGCGACGGGGCCAGGCAGGGCGCGACGGGGCCAGGCAGGGCGCGACGGGGCTAGGCAGGGCGCGACGGGGCCAGGCGGGCGCGACGGAGCCAGGCAGGGCGCGACGGGGCCGAGCGGGCGCGACGGGGCCAGGCAGGGCGCGACGGGACCAGGCAGGGCGCGACGGGGCCAGGCGGGCGCGACGGAGCCAGGCAGGGCGCGACGAGGCCGAGCGGGCGCGACGAGGCCAGGCAGGGCGCGACGGGGCTAGGGTGGCGCGACGGGGCCAGGCAGGGCGCGACGGAGCCAGGCAGGGCGCGACGAGGCCGAGCGGGCGCGACGAGGCCGGGCAGGGCGCGACGGGGCTAGGGTGGCGCGACGGGTCTAGGGTGGCGCGACGGGGCCCAGGAGGGGCGCGACGGGGCTAGGAGGCGCGACGGGGCCCAGGAGGGTCGCGACGGGGCTAGGGTGGCGCGACAGGGCTAGGGTGGCGCGACAGGGCCCAGGAGGGGCGCGACGGGGCTAGGAGGCGCGACGGGGCCCAGGAGGGGCGCGACATGGCTAGGAGGCGCGACGTGGCCTAGCTAGGGTACGGGCGGAAGCGGTAGGTGGGGGATGCTAACCTACGCGTGATACCATGTTAAAGTGAGAACGAATAATGACTAGAAGTGGAAACCTAGAACAAATACTAATTGGTTGTACTCACTAGAAGCATACCTCAGTCTAGCCTATAACTTCTACATAGATAATATGTATAAGTTGACAAAGTCCCCCCCCCCACACATCAGAGACATTACTCCCCATACCGTATTCCCCCGTATAAAGCACCCTAAGGTGGTAACCAAAATGCCTCTAAATTTTGAGGAGGGTGTAATTAGAGGCTAATTTTGTATAACGCCTGGGTGTTGTGGAACATGCGTATGTGATATTGTTTTTCCTAAAGAAAGTGCACTGTCGTACTCTGCTGTATTTTGTTTTTCCCTTCGACATCGCGTTCGGAGGCATGGCACGATTTTCTTGGCGGGAAGGCGAGCGCGACCCAAAAGTCAACTAGCGAACATTTAGTTTTGAGGATTCAAGGGAAGGGACACACTAGTTCGGGCAGTCAAAATGGGTCTCGAAATTTTCTGTGTCGCACCCCTTGAACCGCGCTGAAAAGGTTCCTTGATAAGTTTCCCACTCGCTCTCACGCTCAGGTGATGGCACAGCAGCAGTGGTTGGAAAAGAGGGTAGCGCTCGTCTATGCTACTCAAAAGCAAGGTTAAAGGTTTCGGGGGGGTGATCAAATATTTGCAGGCAAAAAAGACGGGTGTTATGTATATCCAGTTTAATAAAGCACCCATGTCCGCTCAAGCCACCCATGGGCGTTCAATTTTGCGGGGTGCTTTCTTCGGGGGAATACGGTACCACTTGGGGGCGGGGGCAAACCCTGAAACGTCAGGGCCAAAAGAGAGGGCTGTCTGCACGTGACACATCACGTGAGTCTTATTGCCCTTAGGACCCGCTCGAAAAGTGTGCGTTCTTAGCGGACACTATCGAAACGTGCCAGCAGTCCTGTTGCGCACGTTTTGAAATCGGCTGGAAATCGTGCCCGAAATGAACTCCCGCCAAAAACGACAAATCATGGTTGACGAAAAGTAAATACACGACTTCGTCATATTCGGGCAGATTCGTCAATGCTGTGGCAAAAACAGCGAGGCCTCCTAATACAGTACCGTAAACGCCCGGATATAAGACCGGTTTTATTGAGGACCCATAGGGTGTTTTTGGCGGGTACCGTAATCCCCCGTATAAAGCACCCTATGGTGTTAATAAAAATGCAGCAAAATTTTGGGCTGGGTGTAATTAAAGGCCAAAAAAATAAAACACCCAGGAGTTATGGAATGTGCATATGGTTTTTATAATTGGAATTCAAGTGTGCCTGTTTCACCACATTCATTTGAGTCAGATACCCACTTTTGGTCACCTCATTGCATACTGGACGATATTCCCGATCTGCATGCCACATTGGCAGTGAGCATGCAGTGTCAGGGAGGATGCTCTCAGAACAACCAATGAGCACACGTTTAATTTGGCGGGACGCGCGAAAGTCGAGTACAGTCTCAAACTTTCGGATTTGTTTTCGTCGATTTTTTTTTTCTTTCGGGCACATTCGTCTCCTACCTAAGAGCGTAGCCTCTTCCAAGGGAACCTTCCCAGGCTCGCGAGCTACAGTGTCGCGAATTCTGACGCGAAATATTTTAGTGCTGTTCCATAAGGTGCAACGTCAGGTTCAGCCTGCCGAGATTCATGGGCATGTTTCAAAACCTTTGTTCATGCGACATTGTTTCCGACACGCGGGAATCTGTACAGTAAATTTTCGGCGCGAGCAGTTTTTTTCTGCGATTGAGCCGCGGAACGACGCAACACGAAATTCTGGCATTTCCTGCTAGAAATGGAGATTCTAGTGGCAGGGGGGTGTTCAAATGTTTTCACGTCCGAGAGTAGGGTGTTGTGTATATCCAGAAAAATTAAACACCCATACCCGCTCAAGCTACCCGGGGGAGCTTAATTCCGGCGGGTGTTTTATACGGGGGATTACGGTAGGTCTTTTATTATGGTAATCGACTAACAAGACCCTCCCCTTTTCAGTGTAGCCGGCATTAGATCCTCTTCGTTTTTTTTTCCCGTGATTTCCGTAGCAAATGTAAAGTACGGCGGGATGCGAGCAAGAAGGAAATAGAAAGGGGGCTGCGGGGAAACAGTAGCGCGAAAGAGGAACCAGAAAACATTGTGAAAGGTGAGGAGCGCGGGCTTGAACGCTCACAGAAGCGTGGGGTGGGGTGGCAATTCGCCAAGTGGCAAGTTTCCGTCCAATCGAGACGAAGGCAACAATTTTCTCACTGTGTTGAATCTGGAGACAGAATCCAAACCGTCGATCGATACTGTGACAATCGGATTGCCTCCAATATGTTTCCCAAGGGGTTTCCCGTCAAATCAAATGCTCACTTGAACGAATCAGATTCCAACAAGTCGCGACTGCTTGATTTTTGCGCACAAAAGAGCGAGAATGGGCTTGAGTACTCGACAATGAGTAAGGAATGTAAACGAATAACAAAACTACATGAACAAATTGAACTATATATGTGTACAAGATAGCACCCGGGTAATTTATTTTCAGGTTTCCTTATAAGACTCACCCCCTTTTTTAGCTAGTTAACGAAAAAAGACCCTAGGGTCATATATCCGGGCGTTTACGGTAACTCCATTTCTTTCGCCAAGATCTTTTGGTTTTCGCTGCGCAGAGCATTTGTCGTGTCAAAGGCTGGATACAAGGCCGAGGCAAACTTGCTCTCTTTGGTAAAAAAGGTGAACCTCGCGACATCTACAACGCCCGTAACAATTTTCGAGCATGTACATAAGACGTAAAAAGCGCGTGTTATGGCAAAATGAACTTGCTGGACACGCCCTAAGTCTTCGTATGACGGTCAGATGGAAGTTCAAAGCCAACTCTGATTTTCAGACGGTCGAAAATCCTAGCAGCGTCGCTGGTTTGGACGCTTAGCGGTTTTGCTCGTTTGTAACCCGCAACCGCTAATTAGTCGAAGTGCTGCAAGTCTCACCATGTCATGCAAACAGACTATGCAAATACGTTTCTCCGAATTTTCAGACATTCGTTCTAGAATTCTCTGAAAAATCAGACAACTTTTTCCTACTTCTCTGATTGTGAAAAGTGCATCAGACAAAATGCGCAAACCTTGTCTGATTCCTCAGACATGTTTTTTTCCAAAAGAGAACCCTGGACGAAACGCAGTAAATATGGACATTTGATAACATAGCCTCAAAAGAAGGCACAGCAGATACTCTCGTCTACAATACAGCAGCCCATGCAAAACCACCTAACCAACAGGCATCCATGGAGAAAAAACAAATCCATACCACAAACATCATGGCTATCTATCTACCATCCTGACTGGCAGTTCCTTCCATCAGCTGTACCACACCGGCTGCTCTAATCGAACGGGTTGAGATCTCTCACTCTGATCTTGGCCTTCTGCCCCTTGCGGCAGTTGAGCCACACGCGGCTGCCGAAGTAGAGCGTGGTGCCGGCCTCGGCCTTGGAGATGGAGTAGATGTATCGGCCAAAGTAGGACGGCTTGGTGAGCTGCACGCCAACGGAGAAGTCGCAGCTCTGGTATGCCGCAAAGGTGGGAAACTTCCACACGTCCGACCGCCACCCGTTCCACCGGAACACTGCACACGTGTGTGGGGAGGACAGGGGAGGATGAAGGAGGGGGGGGGAGGGGGTGTGGGGGAGGGTGGGGAAGTTGCGGGGGGAGTAGGAAAGGGGAAGGAAGGCGAGCAGGTTGGTGTCTTCTTTTGGGAGCGGTCACTGAAGCTGCCCGTCAACCTCTGCTGCTCCACTATTGTTCGTTATCCTAGTGTGTGCTCGTTTCGATTGAAAGGAATATAGCAGAGAGACAAGGATAAGGGTAGAAAAGAGGGAGACATACCGAGGTCGTTTCCAGGCAGCACGCGGCGAGGGTTGTATCTGTACGCTTGGAGATTCCAGGGGTTGGGCTGGGGGATGAAGTAGCTGCCGCCCACGATGAAGGTCGTGAGAGGACCGGCCTGCTAAAACGACACATGGAGAAAAATAACGACACCCGGGTCACAAAAGCTGCCGGCTGTCGCTTTCCTCAGCAATGGCCGTGTCAGATACTTAGGAGAATAGCACAGCAGAAGCAGCAGCAGCAGAGGTGACTCTAGAGTTGACTCATCAGGATCAGGGCACAGCTGCAGCGCGAAGCGGGAGCAACGTGAGGGAGCGGCAGCAGCAGTGGAGCACGTTTTGGGCGGCAGCGGCTGGCGTGGTTGTTTGACGAGAGGTCGGGGAGATGGATGGAGGCTGGTGACAGGTCAGCAGCAAGAGACGCACCTGAGACGGGGCAACGAAGACAGCAGCAAGGAACAACGCCACCGCCGCCATCACCACTACGACTCGCGTGGAGAAACGGGAATGCCGCTGGAGCATCATCATCGCTAGTAGAGGTTATTACAAGACCAGTCTCCCCCTTTGGCGAGTGAGCAGCTGACGACTGGCGACTGGAAAAAAGAGCGATCGATGGAGTGAGGAGCGCGCGACTGAAAATTGACGACAGACTGGAAAGAGCGCTTCCATTTGTAGCACGCCAGCCCCCGAGGCCGAGCGCAAGGCATGGCGGAGCTCGGGCGGAGTGGCGGGAGCAGTCGAGGCGATACTGTACCGGTGGCGGTGTGGTCTAGGGTACCGGTGCACCTACGAGTAGTAGAGAAGCGAGTCGCTGCGCTGGATTCTGTACATAGCTAAGGCGCTGCATTGGGTTCAGTTCAGCACCATCGTCATCAAATCGGACATCCCCATCGCGGTGCCGCTACAAAACGTAGAGCAGCATGAGGGGGGGAACGATCACAGCATTGGCTGAAGTCTGCCTCATGAGGACTGGCTGGATCACTGTACTGGATGCAGCCAACGCACAGAATTTGGCGGGGAAATAACGCTTCCATTCACCTCTCCGATAATTGCATCGACAGTCAAGCACACGATACCGGCCCCTGAACTGTCGGCATGCAGTGCAGTGGTGGTGGGTGGCAGGGTCTACGCTAAGGTTTTGGGAGGGTCTGTTCCTCTCGGGTTCCCCCCCCACCCCCACTCTTTTCCGTCCGAATTGGGGGCTTGGCAAATTCTGTTTAACCCGGAATCAAAGCTCGAGTTCCTTTGACAGAGTTCCTCCCCTGCGCTGTGTGGTTTCACACCAATGACAACTCATATCGGAGCCTATGAGAGATTGCCTCTGTTTTAACGGGTAAGTGTGTTGACCATGCAAAGGGGGAGGGGGGAGGAGAGAGGCGGGGGACGGGGGGTGTGCGTGGGAAATTTCTCCGGGTTGGGCTACGGGGGCACTCTGATTCTTCCGGAACCTGGCCCAAGCACACTTTTCTATTTTCCCGAATCCCTGTGTACGTCACTCTAAAAAAATCCGGAATCTACCCTGGTGAAACTCTGAAAATAGTTAAATTGGCTAATTACCCTAAACAAATCATTACCTTTTTTTTAATATAACGTTGACTGCAGTATAATAGGCAATCATAGTACACACAACGCGGATAGTCGTAACTGTGGCTGAGAGGGGAGCCTGCTCCCCTCACCTGACTTGTACCTACGGGAGGCGATGTGTCATTCTCGGGTTCGCCCAAATAGATGAGAAGCGATGTGTCATTCTCGGGTTCGCCCAAATAGATGAGAAGCGATGTGTCCACGTAAGACTTTGTGCTGCCCTGTCCAAAATACGGCTGATGGTTCTCCTCTCGTCACGTGCAAGTAGCCACACCCCTTTCTTCGCCTTGTCCTTTTCTTTCTTCCGCGCATCTCTGCCCGCAACCGCCACGTAGATCTTTGAGAGTAGCAAAAACTCTGCTTTGATGTGACTCTTCGCGCGCCGGATCTGCAATTTTTTGTTCCGGAAGACTGCCCCACACCTTTTCCGCCATATGCTGTAAAAGGCCACCGCTGTCAATATGGCCTCCAGAAAACCCAACGCTGTGCTGCATGGCTGAAAGAGGTCCCCCAACGACCCGATTGTTCTTGACAGATTCATTGTCGACAAAGCCTTCTTGAGGGCGATGATGATTGGCTGCACCCTCTTGCACGAGTAGACGCAGTGTTCAAGCGACTCCTCTCCCCCACAGTAAGGGCACTTCGCCTTGTCGCCCATGAAGCGAAGCCGTTCGCCGACCTGAAGATTTCGACAGTGGATCCGCAACAGGACATCACGAGGTCTGTGAGGGGTCACGCCCGAGCCCCTCATTTTGATGGTCCTCTTCCAATCTACTGGTTTCCCTAGCTGCTGCTCCCAGGACTGCTGCTTTGACGTGAGGCCTTCATGCGTTACAGCTGCTCTGGTCTCCCCTCCTCTACCAGTGAAGAGGTAAGTAGCCTCGTCTCTAGCAGCCCCACCTCTCCAATGAGCACACCTCCCTTGATCAGAATCGGCACCATCTCCCTCAGGCTGAGCGTCATCGACCGCGGGTCATCCCCGCGGACGATTTCTGTTCTCCTCGTCCACCTCCACTCTGCTGCAAAGAAGACCTCCCCCCTCCTTCCCTTCTATCTTCCATAGGTAGTTACCTCTCAGACCTCTTGTCATAACTATCGAAGTGGTGGCTCGGATCTCCTCGACAGTGAGGGGCCTTAGCAGTCTCGATTCCACTGCACAGGTCCTGCTCCGAATGCCCTCATCGCTACCCTTGCTATTCTGCGACTGCCCAACTGCCTTGACAGCTCCTCTGTCGTTTTCCTGTTTACCTCCCCTGCCGAGTCTCTCTTTATCAAGTCTCCCAGCTTCATCTGGTACTGGCTCTCCAAACCCTTTTGGTTTCCGAAGGGGCTACCGCCTTTAAACATTATCTGCTTGTTGAAGAGCAATCTCTCATGTTCCACCTCCCACCTTGACGCATCTACCGCGATCTTCGCTAGATGCGATGAGGCGAAGACTTAAGCTATGCGCTTCCATCTGTTGCTCCCTCCTTTCCAGTGTTTGAATAGGGAGTGATGAGCGTATAGGGAGGCGAAACCCAGTGGAAGCTCTGCCGCTTGCTCCGTGATCCAGCGCTTGATAGGGTCCTTCTCCAGCAGCGGCCCTGCAACAGTTCTGAACGCCCCGCCGTTGATGCGTGCTTTCGGGTCCAAAACCCCCAGCCTGCCTTCTAGTGTAGGCCTGTGCATCAACTCCCGACTCCATAAGGTGAAGACTTCCTCCTCTGTTGCCTTACCCCCGGATACGAAATTCTGTACGTTCTTCCACACCTCTTCTGGAGAGGGGTGGACTTGAGCTTGGAACAGGGCTACCGGCATCAAGTAGTTGTTCCAGATGGTAACTCGCACCAGTGTCGTGAGATGAACCGCCTGCCACTTGCTCAAGATCCCCTTCATCCTTCCGTATGTCAGCTCCCACGATGGTTTTGGATCTCCCTCCGACGTCACCCAGATGCCGAGCAGCCGCTCTGGCTCCCCTCTTCTAGCCCATTTGAACTGCAGGCCTTCGGGGGAGCCGCTCAAATGTTCCTCCCCGACGGCAGCATCTCCGACTTATCGGCGTCTGCCTTGAGACAGGAGGTGCGACCGAAGTCGTCCAGGAGCAGCGCCACCTTCTTGAGCTGCAACTTTCCATTCGGGATAAGTGTGGTGTCATCGGTGTAACCCAGGTAAGCCAGACGCTTCCAGCCTTTCTTGAACAGACCCATGCTTCACATTGCAGCCTCCTGACACAATGGTTCCACCGCGCAAAGAAACAGGTAAAGCGCGAGGGGGTAGCCTTGACGCACCCCTTTCCGCATGTCTATGGATTCTCCTATCCAACCATCTATGAAAAGCCTGGTGCTTGCACCTTGATGGGTGGGATAGCCCCGCCCCCGTGCGATACAGTACAACTAATGTCCACCGTACGCCGTGCCCGTGGCTAATCTTGATTTCTTGGCCTGCCTAAAAACCTTATTTTACTGGCACTGGGAGATTTGTTTTAGGACTCCCGGTGCGCCACCTAGAGCGGGTTCTTTGAGCACTGAGCGAAACAACCACAAATGCACCCTAGGGCACCAGTTACAATACATATTGTTACGAATTGCACCTTTTTGTACCATTTGCTGGTGGTGAAGCATGCGGAATAACGAATTCGACATTGCACCCGCGGTTCGAAAATTTGGTAGGTGCACGGTGGACATCATTTGTAGGGATTTTGTTGTCCTTGCTGTAGGTTTTCGAAGTTCCATTCATAAGAACGTGTCTAAAGTGTTTTGACAGCGGATGACATGATGAGTCTCGTCCGTCGATGTCCGTACGAACAGATGACAACGGCTACGATTCTTTCTATCATCGGATTGCAACGGATGACAGAACTACACTTTGAACACGCTCTAACAATGCCATGCAAGATTAGGTCATGATTAGGGGATATCTACCTGCTCTCAGTATGAGAAACTAATTAGGGACATTAAAATGACTGAATCAATTAAGATTGGCAATAAAGGAATAGAAGCATGACATGATTGGCAATGTTAGCGACAGAGAATAAATCAGGGTCGGCCCGACAAAATAGGCAGAACGTGCTGAGTCAAGGAGTTCGGGGCGTACACGATAGGACACGATGCAGTAAAGAATCGAATTTCCTAAAACTCCCCCTCCCTGACACGCCCTTAGGCTAAATCATAGTCGTGTCAGCCCAACTCGTGTCAAGCACATACAACGTCCAAGTGATCGATATTTCTTTCTATCAGCACCCCCCTTCTCTCTCTCTCTCTCTCTCTCTCTCTCTCTCTCTCTCTCTCTCTCTCTCACTCTCTCTCTCTCTCTCTCTTTCTCTCTCTCTCTCTCTCTCTCTCTCTCTCTCTCTCTCTCTCTCTCTCTCTCTCTCTCTCTCTCTCTCTCTCTCTCTCTCTCTCTCCCCCCCCCCCCCTCCCCTCCCCCCTCAAACCTGCCTTCCATTCTATACTTCGACACTTAAAAAAAAACCAATTTCAAGTGGTTTCCAGGTCTGCAATAGTTGTGGGCTTTAATGCTTCTTATTTCAACCCTTTACATCTAATTTGATCTTGGCAATATTTTATGGTAATACCGCTTGAATAGGCATCCATAGCTTAGTGGGAACAAAAGAGTCGAGCAGGTTACAACTATTAGAAACTCAGCCACTAACCACTGAGTTAAAAGCTTGTTAATAGCGGGTCAGTGCGCCCATAGCCCCCCAGTCTCTGCACCTGTGCCCCTTCTCTGAGGATCTTCTCAAGGGTAACCCCTATGGGTCTCTCGGCACCCCCCCTCGCTGGGATAGGCAGAGGACACAAGCGCTAGCACTGGGAATTGAACCTCAGTCACCAGCGCTCTGATAGCATATCAGAACTCAGTCACTAACCACTGAGTTAAAAGGACTTGTTAGTAGCGGTTCAGTGCGCCCATAGCCCCCTATGCTCTACACCTGTGGCCCTTCCCCGAGGATCTTCTCAAGGGTAACCCCAGTGGGTCTCTCGACAACAACAGCCATAGTTCTTGTCGAGAGAGGAGAATACGTTAACTAGGGCAAATTGGAACATGAAATTATCTAAGTGTTATACTCGGTATAGTCTACCTCTAGTTAGGCTATAAACCAATATATGTTTACGTGGCGGAGTTTAACAAGATACAACATCCAGGGCAGCACTACTACTCTTGTCACTGGAGTATGTGACAGAACAGCTCAGGGCAGCACTACTAGTCTGACCATTGAGAGAAGATCCAGAAGGCTAATCAGCAAGTGTTAACAAGACAACAGGTTTACTTCAGCATATATACATAAGGATACAAGCAAGTGTGAGGCAACTGACCAAGCTGAGTACAAAACCGTTGATGATTACGAAGCACAAATGCCTTGGTAAAAATATCAGCATTGTTGGCTTCTTAGGCCACATGTACTAAGCGGGCCTAG